GGAGCCCGATGCGGGGCTCGATCCCAGGACCCTGGGATCATGACCTGAGCCGAAGGCAGATGCTTAACGACTGAGCCACCCAGGCGCCCCTAGAGCAGCTGTATTCTTAAGTTCCAAAAGTCGGAAGAAAACACTAAAAAGAAATGAGCTATTAAGCCATGAAAAGACGTGGAGGAAACTTAAATACATATCGCTAAGTGGAAGAAGCCAGTCTGAAAAGTCTATGTTCCATATAATTCCAATTTATACCACATTCTGGAAAAGGCAAAACTGTGGAGATAGTAAAAAGATCAGTGGTTGCCTGGGGTTGAGAGTGGGAAGGAATAAATAGGTAGAAAACAGAAGATATTTTAGGGCAGTGAGACTACTTTGTAGGACACTATTATAACAATGCATGTATGCAGTTATACATTTCTCCAAATGTATACCTAAAGAATGAACAACCCCAAGAGTAAACCCGAAGGTAAACAATGGATTTGGGGTGATTATGATGTGTCACTATAGGTTCATCCTTGGTAACAAATGGACTGCTGTGGTGAGTGATACTGATAATGGGGAGGCTCTAAATGTGTGGGAGCAGGGGATATATGGGAAATCTCTGAACTTTCCTCTTAAATTTGTGATTAACTAAAACTACTCTAAAAAATAAATTCCTTTTAAAAACGTGGGGATGGGGGGGGCGGACATTGGTGCAGAGTAGAAAGTACCAGGATCTGTCTCCTCACTTAGACAACTGCACTGGCAAGATCTGTTCAATGCAATTATTTTGGAACTCTAGAGTCTGTTGAAGGCTTTCCAGTTCCAGAGGAAGACCTAATGGAAAGTAAATTGCTGATAATCTTGTTTAATTTCTGTCCTTAGCAGTGCTGGCTACCCACTCCCCACCCTTAGCCACATGGGAGGCAGCTGGGCATGTACATGTTTCTGCAGCAGCTTGCACAAGGCTTGTAGAAGTTGCAGGGACAAAAAGGAACCTATCCTCCAAATATCAAAAATTGGTGCTCTGTTGTTTCCGACCACAGAGGTGCAGGCAAGGAGGTGGGCCGCCATTACAATGTTTCACCTCACCCACCGGTGCCAGCCCCTCCCCCTCCAACTGAACAGACTTCCAGAGATTTAAAGGGCTGGCACCAGGTCGCCTGGGTGGCTCAGTTGGTTAAGCGTCTGCCTTCGGCTCAGGTCATGATCCCAGGGTTCTGGCATCAAGTCCCACATCGGGCTCCCTGCTCAGC